CAAAAAAAAAATGGTAAAAAAAAAAAAAAAAAAAAAAAAAAGAAAAGTGATAAAGACACAAATGCAGAGCTAACTACAGGCTTGTATATACATTTTTGTTATCCACCTCTAACATGGACTCTTGGTGAACGGGACAGACTGGTAGTCCCTGTTCCTGTTATTCCCAGAATAGCAAGGGAAAAAAAAAAAAATAATCAGTATCTTAAAACCAGTGGCAACATAGTAAAAACTGTACACTGTTGTCCATTAACTTAAAAAGCAAAGTCCCTAGATGGTATAAAAGTGAAAGCAGGTGCCTTCTAACTTTGATAATAAAAGTCTTTTTCTCCCCCCCCTACGCTGCACAATTATCTCCATTGTCTTTGCATGGCCAGGAACAAAATGCTAAGAAGCAAAGCTGCTTGTGATAAACCGCTCCTGGGAGCGGCAGAAGTGTTCACGTTCTTGTCGCTCTTGTTGGAGTTCCCCGCGACTTCGGTGGCGTTGAACTCGAACTCCGGGGAGCACTGCTGGAGCTCGCAGCCGCTGCCGCTCTCCTCCCCGCTGCTCTCCTCACCTGCGGGAGACAAGCACAGGCTGTCCTCCTCTGCCGCCCGCAGCGCCGCGCCACGCTCGCTGGCGGAAAGCGGCGGCCGGGAAGGGGGAAAGGCAAGCGCGTGGATGTTTCGACATTTATGAGACGTAAGCGCGGGTCCTCGGGTTAAGGTGACTTCTGCGTGCCGTCCCTCACGCCTATCCGTACTGGTGGATGAAAAGCTGGACACGAGCCGGCAATGTGCGCTGGCAGCCCAACCTTACCCCGGGCTCCCAGCAGCGTGGCCAGCAGTTGAGGGAGGGGATTCTGCCCCTCTGCTCCTCTACCCCCTACCCCGCAGTGCTGCGTCCAGCTCTGGAGCCCTCAGCACAAGAAGGATGTGGGCCTGTTGGAACGGGTCCAGAGGAGGGCCACAAAAAAATGATCCAAGGGCTGGAGCCCCTCTGCTATGGGGACCGGCTGAGAGAGTTGGGGTTGCTCAGCCTGGAGAAGAGAAGGCTGTGGGGAGACCTGATTGTGGCCGTTCAGTGCTTAAAGGGGGCTTACAAGAAAGATGGGGACAATCTTTTTAGTAGGGCCTGTTATAATAGGACAAGGGGTGATGGTTTTAAACTCAAGGAGGGTAGACTCAGACTAAATGTAAGGAGGAAATTTTTTACAATGAAGGGGGTAAAACACTGGCACAGGTTGCCCAGAGAGGTGCTAGATGCCCCATCCCTGGAAACATTCGAGGTCAGGTTGGATGTGGCTCTGAGCAAGATGTCCCTGCTCACTGCAGGGTGGGGGGGTGGATTAGAAGACTTTTAAAGGTCCCTTCCAACCCAAACCATTCCATGATTCTATGGGAGTGACCTCCCTCGTGCAGCCTGCCGGAGGTGCTGGTTCCCGCCTTCTTTACTAACACGCTTACCCATAGCTGAAGCTTAACCAGCTACCCCGTGTCAGCATGAAATCCAATTAAAAAGGAAAAAAGAAAAAGCAAAAGGCAAACAGCAGCAAACATACTTATGTCAATGAAGTCGACATCATTCCCACTGTATGCATTCTTCAGCTTGTTGGTCATCACCCGCAGAGCCATGATTTGCCGGCGAATCACCATGTCTGGCTTGGTAATATCAACTTCTACCTCCGGGTTATTCACTTGGCTTGCTAAGCCGTTTCCAGTCACCGCAAAGTCATACCTGAAAAGAAACCGTTCCTGCTGGTACCGGAGCTGCAGCTCGGTGTGGCCCCGCACCGAAGGGCAAGAGCACGGAACTCAGCGATGCCACCCCTGTTTCCAGCTCGGGCAGTATCCTGAGCCCAATGCAATCCTCCCACGTGCTAACCCCCACGGAGCCCTTTGCCAGCTTCTTACCCCATCTCCCCTCCCTGCAGCCTGAGCAGCATGTGAAATTAGACACTGATTTCATGTACCATGCCACAAAGACAATTTTCTCCCCGGCTTGAAAAGAGAAGGAAGATCTGGGGTTTATAATAGTAATGGCTTCCAATAGCATAAATCAGATTGCTGCAGGCAACAGAGCAAAACAAGCTGCTGAGATGCCTTGATGCCCAGTTAGATGACACTTTTGGGAAAACAACCTTTGGGGCCGTAGTTATCCCAGAGAAACCTATAGTAACTGTTGGAGGCAAGAATATCATTCTGGCTTTGCATAATGCACCTTAACCATCAAGCTGGGGTATTAAATGTGCACCCTCACCACGCAGACATGCCATGCCATTTCCCTAATAACCCCAGCAGCAGAAACATCTGTGCTGTCAAAGATGAGATGACAGAACCCTACGCAGCGAAGCAGAGGAGGGCTGAGCTGCTCAGCCCGAGGTGGTGTGCAAGCTCAGGTCTGAACACACGTACGGCCCTTTGGTTTAAAAGAGAGCCTGAGCAGCAAAACCCAAAAGAACGCATCTCCTGAAACAGGTATTTGGAGAATCATCTTATAGAGCAGGGATATGACACTTTTTTTTTTCCTCCTCCAATTAGTAGACTTGCAAGAAAAATCACTGTTTAGCAGAAGAAAACATTACTTTTGTTGAGTTATGATGCCAACATCAGTATCACAAGAGAGAGAAAAGCCTTTAGCACAGTCTACTGATCCTGGAGACCAGGCAGTGAGATATAATCATACGTCCGAAGGGTATGCTTAAACCCTGTCCTATATTTGGGAAGGTTTGTTATTATTGTTGTTGTTATGGTTTGCGATCAATATTATATGTTGCAAAGAGCTCCGAGAGAGACCGAAGTGTGGAAGCCTGCTGA